TAAACTTTATATAAAATCTCAGTTAAATATTCAATAAAGATAGAGGCATGGCCTTATCATTAACATTAAAAAAAAAAAAAAAATTAATTTAAAATTATGCAAAATATTTAAATAAAAGATGTGATTTTTAATAAAAGATGTAATTTATTTTATATATAATTTTATTTTAAAATAATTTTATTTTAAGATTTATAATTTATTTCATAATCTCAAAGCATATTTAATTAGTAATTTCCTACAACTTAAAAACATACATGAGTGCTATCAAGAGAAAACCAAAATATGGGCTTTTAATTATATTTCATATCAAACACAATTTATTTATTTATTAGTAATTGTGTCTGATACAAAATATAATTGAAAGTTCAGATTCTGGTTTTTTTTTAGTAGCATTTATATATAATTAGTAATCTGTGACTTAAAAAAATAAAATTTAAAAAAAATCAAAAAAGGAATACTATAATTTACTATTGCTATAGCAGATCGATCATGCTAAAAAATTTTGCCTATTACATAATGGCTTTTGATATAACAGACTATCAATATAACAAATATTGCTTAATATAGAGATTTATAATGGAACCAAATTACTATTAATAAAATTATTTGATATAAGATTTTGATATTATAGAGATTTGGATATAATGAAGCAAAAAATGAAACCATGGCCTTCATTATATCAAGAGCAGAACTATAAACCAAACTATTTAAGATGGCCTAAACCAAATAACAATTAGTATTGAACTAGGTATTTACAACTTTTTATCTATTGTCAAACCTATATAAAACTAATTGTCATATAGTTTGGATCATTCCAAATAGTTTGGTTTATAGCTCTAATCGAGAGCAACTGTATATAATGAATACTAAATAAATAAATAAACAAGTATTTTCATAATCTAATTTAATAGTATTAAAAATTAATTATATATTCTTAATATAACAAAATTATTAATTACAAACCTCATCTCTTAAATACTTAATTATAGCATATAAATTAAAGATTTATTCGAATTCAAGAAGTCTTAATTAAATAATTATGCCTTAATATAAAGTTTTTTTCCATTATAAGATCTAAAAATGTAGTATGAATCATTAGTGCTAATATTTTTGTATTATAACAATGCACATAAAATTACTATACAAATATTGCTAATCTAAGAAATATATTCTATGAAAATATAGTGCTATCAATTATACATAGCAGAATAATAGATAATCTGAAATGCAATTTTGAGTTAAAGTTTTTTTTACATTTTTGCAATCATTAAATTGCTCACTTTTTATGCATATATATTAATAATGTGTCAGTATTATGTTAGATCAATCAATGTAAATTATCATATCTATAATTTTGAATCTTTTTCCTCACATCTATAACATGTCAAATACAACAAAACAAGAACAAAAAAATGCTAATACTGCTCAAATGTGCAAGAAAAAAGCTGCAAAGACTGATAAGCAAATAAACCAGTAACATCAACATAATGCTAATGCTCATTAACACTGTCATATAAAGAAACATTAAGAGCAATGTATGAATTGATGTCAACAGAGTATTACTACTGAACATTAATGATATTTTAAAGCATCTGAAGACCAACATCACAATTAGAATCATCAAGATGCTGAAACTCACTGCCAACAATATATCAACAACTCTTGACTATACAATTTCATTTATGATTTTTCAGAAAAAGCAAATATTAATTATCTAATTCTATATCAAATTGATGTTGCAAGCAGCATTACTGCATTACATGTAATCATTGCAATGCTCTCAAACTGCCCATAAAAAGTTTCAGAATATGCTATTCTAATAAAAAAGTAATATTAGCAGAGCCTAGTATTTCAATGCTTTTGCAGCATTTTTTTTTTTTTTTTTTTAAAGTGAAGTCTTGCTTGTATCTTTATTAAGTAATTTATAAAATAGTAACATATGTGCAGTATATATATTTCTACTATTTGTACTAGTACAAATAAAAAGAAAATTACATGCAAGAATAAAAGCTTAGACAATTAAATAAATCTAATATATCTGCAACCTAAACCTACTAGAGTGGTCAAAAACTTACCTAGATAATATTATTTATAGTTAAAATAAAGTTAAAAGTTGTGTAATACTTGATCCACAGAGTAGCCCAAGTATTAATTTTTCTAAAGGCCTGTCCAACAAATAGACAGGTTCCAGTATGTGAATGAAGTTGGTTAGTTAATCACAGAAACAAGAATATGTAAAATTATGATAAATATATATATTATTTCTACTATAGAAAGATGAGCTTGTTGTGTAGTATGTGTATTAGTTATTTGTTGTTGTTTTTTCCAATTTGAAAAATTAATACAGTAGGGTTTTTATAATTGTTTATAGATTTGTTTGTTAATTTCAAGCAGAATATTAATCACAATTGTTGATGCTAGTTTGTATAGAACTTCTAAGTCCTATATAGTTTTAATTAGAGATAAGGAAATGAAATCTTTAAGAGTAATTTCTATGTAATATGAAGATGAGTGAAGAGGTGTTTCTTTAAAGGCTGAATAGTCTTTAATTTTTTGAATAAGTTCTTTAGTTTTATTGTTAGAGAAATCTAAATTGCTGAGTTTATACAATTAGTTATTGCATTAGGAATGATGTTACAGTGCAAGACACTTAGAGATGAAAATAAAAATACATCTCTAAAAAATAATAGAGGGTCATGTGAAAGTGATACAAAAAAAAAAAGGCTACTATTTTGTAGCTAAATCAGTCTATTACAAAATAGCGGCCTCTTTTTTTAAAAATTATTTATTTACTTTTGTTTTATTTAAACTTAAAGATAACATATTTTCATATAAATAGCAGAAAATGTGACATATGTCATAATCCAAACAGTTGAAAATAATGCATGTGTTTATTTTACATAAAGGTACAATGCATGCAATTGTGTTATTTCTAGTGTTTTAACTTTCAATTTCTAAATTGAGCTAACAATCTTGTTATCGTTAGATAACTAAGCAGAAATAAAAAAAAAAAAAAAACACTTAGACATTTAGAGAGTTGTCATATCTGAATAATCCAAATATAGAGTCATGCACTTGGAGTTTGTTGACTATAATGATTTTTTTTTCTCACTGTACTCTTTATATCATTTCTTAAGTAAGAGCACCATGTGGGTAATATGTTTGGTTAGTGCCAAGAATAACAAATAAGATGATGTATAAGTGTTCTGATAAGCTAGTGAAAATGTTTTTTTTAAAAAAAAAAACAAAAATAGTTTAACAAACTTTAAACTACTCTAGGCCTTTAACCTACCTCAGACCTTTAACTATTCTAGACCTTTAACTATGCCAAAAACAAACAACTATAGAATTCTTTAAAAATATAATGATAAAAGAAAAAAATTGGCTCAAGAAAAGAAAAGTGTTTTAAGAAAGAGCATTTGGGAGAAGTTTATTGAACAAGAGAGTGAGTTTGAAAATGAAAATGAGTTTGAAGAAAGCAAGATTCAGAATGAAAGTAAGTTTGAGGATGAAAGTGAGTCTGAGGAAGAAAATGAGTCTGAGAAAGAAAGTGAGTGTGAAGAAAAGAAGAAAAGAATACATGTATGCTTACTTAACATAGCTCTTGAATGGAAGAAACAACTAAAAAAAAAAGAACAATTAAAGAGATACCAAAAATGACATATTACTATAAATATGGTGCCTTAGGTATATTTGTCAATGCTACCAAGAGAACTACCAAAATCACAAGTTTTTTGGAATCTTTGATGCCTTCAGCATCTACTAGTTTTTCTGGAATTGTGAGTAAGTCTTCAAGTTTTTTGAATGTATTGTTTAATGTCTAACACTTTTTGTATCACTAATATATTCTTTTTGACCAAATTAGATAATAATAAAATAGTACCTGCTGTTAACCTGTAGTTTTTCCTTTAACTACAGTGATATCAGAAACTGCTCAACTATAGTATGACGACTATAACTTGAC